TAATGATTGTGATACAAACACAAAATTTGATTGCCCCAATGATGCAGGAAATATAAATTAAGTAGTTCATCAATGGCGGACTTACCTTTTCCCAAAACTAGGTTTTTCATTATACCAAAAATTAGAAACATAAACAAGAAAGCTTCAAGAATTCGAATTGAAATTTGTACCATTCTTGATTTTAAATTTGAAATTGAGAATTCTTACCAATCTTAATTCTGATTTAAAAAAAACAAAATTGATCTTGACTTCAACTAAACAGAAAAATATTCGATAAACTAGAACAATAAATTTATAATAAAAACAAAAAATTAAAGATTTGCATATAGACTTTGTGCTCTTATAATATATCATGTTGCTTGTGAGAGAATGTTTCTATATTTTATTCATTATTAGAGAGAATTAATATAATGCAAGATAAGTCTAATTTTATCACGAGTTAATTAAGTTAGTTAAAATAATTAATTATTTATTTATTACATCTAAAAATAAGTAAATATACAAAATTATTTTTTAAATGAACATAATATATATATTTATATATATATATAATACTTGAACAATTATAAAATCCAACTTAACTCTCTAGTGTAATAACCACTGTATTTTACATATATATATATATTGTACATTTAAAAAAAGTATTTACATATAGATATATAAGAATAAAGAGATCGGAAATGGTTTTGAGTAATTTATGATATGTTGCGCTTGTTTTTTCCCAATGTGCGACGTGCCTTACAGCAAGAGATATAAACGATTGAGCAAATAAATACAGATTTCCATGGCAACTAGAAATTTCCTTCCCAATCAAAAATAGGTGAAAAGACATTTATAGGCCGATGGCATATTTAATTATTATCTCAAATCGCAGAGTCGATCGACAATTCGAGATTATTAAAATTATTTTCTCTGTAATCTTAAATTCATATTTTTGTATTATTAAAACTATTTCAAATATATTTTAAATATTTTAAAAAATATTTAACAAAGATTATATATGTTTTTAAATGTAATTCAAAGCAATAATACAAACTTAAATTTTAAATATAATTTGGACTAGAAAGCTGAATCAAATGCAATTTTTTAATTAAATAGATTCCGTGATATAATTATTTTGTTTTATAATTTATGAATTTATAAATTTAATTTTAAAAATAATAAAAAATTAATAATATGTACGATTATTCACATGTTGAAGTTATAATGTTGAATAAATTTTTTAAATAAATTAATATATCAGTTAACTTGGTTAATTGACTTAGAAAAAATTAATTTTAAAAAAAAATATTATTTTCAATATTATATGCTCGATTTAAAGGAGGCAGGGAAGCTAATTATTTTCCTTTTCTTTTTCCCCCTTTAGCAAATTATCAGTGTATTATGATTGGGTAGCGGATAAGATAAATGGCGGTAATTTGTATAAAAGAAAAAGGGCAATATGGGTTATCCAAATTTCATCCCCAAGATTCCTATTAAGAAAACTTGTAAAGTCCATGCCAAAAAAATATATAAAATTTCTTCCTGTCGTCTTCATCCTCGCTTATCGCATTTGGTTTTTCATAAAACTATCGTAATCGGAGCATTCTCTACTCTCTGCTCTGTATAGACGGATTCTTCTCTACTAGTCTTTCCTTTATCTGCCTACTTTTGGATCTAACAGCAAAAAATGCTGGCAGTTTTTGACAAATCGGTGGCCAAGAGCCCAGAGGCTCTGCAGAGTCCTCATACTGGGTCGGCTTCTGCTATGAAAGATGGATTCTTGGCTAAGCATTTTGGGTCTGTGCACCCTGGTTCGGTTACTGTCAATCTTGGTTCTGCCGGTTCCATTGCCTACTCTCTTGATAGGCAGAACCCACTTCTCCCAAGGTACTTTTTGACGGAAAATGTTTATATCCATTTTTCATATCTGCTTTTCGTTTCTTGTTTGCTTGATCTGATACTTGATAAGTTTTTTATTTTCGATCTCGACTTTTTAGTTTATTTGTTTGTTTGGTTTCCCGGAAATTAAATGGTACTCTTATTTGTTCTGTCGGAACGATTAATTATCTAATAAACTTGATTTGGGAGTGATCTGCAATTCTTGACGTTACTTCCATTTCATCACGAATATGAATCTTGATTATCATTTTGTTTGTCGCCATGGTCGCTAATTCTCTCATTGGGTTCTTAATCAGGGAATCACGAGCATTGATTGCTGGGAAATAAATATTTTGTCAACTATGGGGCTTGATAAGTTGATATCATTTACTTTGAGGGATATTTTCTTGAGCTTTTTTACTTTGTTGAATTAATGCTAGGGTGGAATATCAGTCCCGGGAGGGTGGGGGTTTCCCATCCAAAACTTTCACAACCATAGTTTTGATTTCCTTGTTTGATCGTTCACGATGGTTCTTTGTGTTTCTTGTTGAGTTAATATTTATTTTTTAATTTTCTCATCTGTTCCCCTAGTTGCTTTGATCTTTTTGCTGCGTGTTGTGAGATTTGCATCACATATGGTCCAATCCTAGATAAAATTTGTCCATACTTTCATCCTCATCATATCTACCTTGATTTGTTTAATTCAAGGAAGGGAATATGCAAATACATTCATGGGCTTTAATTTATAGTGTACACATCCGAAGATGTTCGGAGTTGTATGGATGAAGTCACTATATAACTTTTCTTTGTAAGTTTTATATTCGAATAATTTGATTATTGAATTTATACGGCAGTCGAATTTAAAAGCGGTGCTTGGGTTGTTATTGTAATATGGTTGTTGATTGCTGATCTATCCCATGCTAAGGAATATGGTTGCTGATTGCTGATCTATCCCATGCTAAGGAAAAAATTATTAATAGACATATTTTTCTGTTCTCTGCATGTTGGAATTTGCTGGGTTCTCTTGATTAATCTACATATGCTAGCCTTATCTCCATGGTTGTGTTATATCTATCTATATGTAACTTGGTTTTTTCTCGTCTTATGTGAACAGATTGTTTGCAGCTGTGGATGACATTTTCTGCTTGTTTCAAGGCCATATTGAGAATGTTGCACTTCTTAAGCAACGTTATGGATTAAACAAAACATCAAATGAGGTGACCATTGTCATCGAAGCTTATAGAACTCTCAGAGACCGAGGTCCTTACCCTGCTGATCAGGTTGTAAGAGACCTAGAGGGCAAGTTTGCATTTATTCTGTATGATAGCTCTACAAAGAATGTATTTTTAGCCGCTGTGAGTAAACCATTTTCTTAGTATATTCTTGGCTGCTTGTCTATGCACCTTATTGGATGAACTTCTTGTCTTCTGAGCATAAACAGCTTGATTTAATTATTACTTGCCTCTGTCTTATGCAGGATGCGGATGGGAGTGTGCCTTTCTTTTGGGGAACTGATACTGAAGGGCATCTTGTTCTTTCAGATGATTCAGAGATTGTACAGAAGGGATGTGGAAAATCTTTTGCCCCATTTCCAAAAGGTATAAAAATCTTGAAGTAGTAGCTCTAAATTATTTCAAAATCCTGGCATGGGGAATAAATGAGGGAAACAGATGTGACACACCAGGCAGCTTATGAAATGGTGCTAGATAATGATCTGAGGGATGCACAGAACTTGTCTTGGTTATTTACTATTTTCATCTTCTTCATTTTTGCACTCTTTTTAGTTGGTTATTTGGTTATCCCTTTTCATAGTCCATGTTCTTGTTAATTTCCCTTCTTCATGTTGGTTTGAAAAATGGGGTTTCCTTGGTTTCTCATGTACATGTTATTCTATACTGTTACATAGATATAGCAGCAT